GGAATTTCAAAATCTGAGCAGGATACTCCTCCATCTGGGAATCCAGAAAGATCTGGGGAAAGATGCCTCCATAAAGCAGATGTGTGAGATGACAAAATTAAGTGACGTTTCTGCTCACTGTGGCATCATAGGTTACTGGCCAATTTACTCATCCTTCCTACTAATCAAGGCCAACTAGTAAACCCCCCAAGCAGTACGCATGCTGCCAGTGCAGTCCTTGCACATAAGGTGTGAGGTTACACAAAATCATTAGAAAACAAAGAAAGTCAAGAGCCACATGTTTGAGTTTAAACCACACTGTTTTCAAAATGACAGTGTTCTGGCTTCTTTATATCCATCTGGATTGATTTTCCAAGGGAGAAAACACAGTTCCAGCCCTCCACAGTATCGCTACTGACACAAAATGGATAGCAAAATAAATGAATAGTCTAGCTCCCTGCCGGAGCAGAGATCGAACATACGTCGAGTAAACTCACTCGTTGACAAGAAGGCTTGAGTAACTTCCACACAGTTACAAACAGTTCTGCTCCGATAATGCCTGCAGAGACCAGCAGAGCCTGGGCTGTTAGTGTCCATCACGTGGGAGCAGCCAGAGGTGCCAGTGTAAAGATAACCAAGGACTCTGTGAGAACAGATGCCTTTCTCCTGATCGGTATGGAAGCATGCTACAGAGTTAAAACACCGTATAAACAAGAAGCCCAAACATTAAACCTGAGCATCATACATCCACATAATCTAGAACAACTCTCATGAACAGAAAATATTGCACCAGAAAGTAAAAGTCTGTGCATCGCTCCCTACAAATATCAGATCATAAATATTGATGCTACAGAGAAAAATGGTAAATGAAACCTTGCCATGGTAGAACATAAAACTTGCGAAACATGCAACAAAACCAATAATGTATATATCCTTTTCTCATGCATATAGGTATTATTTAGCATTAGTACTGCAGAGGAGTCCAGAACTGACCTTATGTTAGGGGCTGCCCAACTTACATGAACTCCCACCCTTCCAGGGTTTAATGAGCAACTACTTTGCCAGATCCTCAGAGACAAAATCTCTCTATCTTCCTTGACCTCAGAGTTCTTTCCTAAATGGAGTTTGTGGAACAAGTTATTTTTGAATCAAACATCCACTCTACAGTTACGAACACACTAACTATACCAAACGATAACAACCTTTGCTATACCTGTTCCCCTGGTGTATTTTACATAAAACCATTGGGGTTTAAAGACTTCAATAAGAATTTAATTAAAAATGCGAAAGGTGCAGATCTCTCAGGACCCATTTTTTCTCATTAATTTAACAACAAAGCCCACCTGACTATGAATCAGAACATTTGTAACACAAGTGAAACAGCTGTGGCAGTCCAAGCCATCCCCTTACTATTTTTCTAAACACTATGAATCTTTAAAAGTGCAAGGAACTTCAACAGCACATACAACGGCACAGATCCCAAAGGAAAAAAAAATCCAAATAGAATGGAAAGTTATTTGACCAAAACAAAAAAGAAATATTCTTGGAAGAGAACTAGGTGCTGTAGAAGGAAAACCACAGGCTCCTACAGCCTGCCAGTCAGCACATGAAAACAGAGGCTTTGAGGGAGTTTAAGAGTCTTCATTTTTTGGTAGGTAAGGATTCTGAAAGAACATGAAATACCACAGCTATGAAAAATAATAACTGATACTGCATTTGCTTTTGGAGCAAGTCATCCAGTACCACCACCAGCTGCAACTACAGCGAAAGAACCTCACTGCTTTTGGCCAAAAAAAAAGAAAATCAAAAGGAAATAGTGCATTTCAATTTTAAGCCCTAGCACCAGCCATCTGATCCCTAGCTGGAACAGGACAAGGCAAGCTAGGTTTCTAACCTCTTTCTAAATATCAGTCCTGAGGCTATTGACTGTTCAGAGATCAGTAACAATCAGTCGCTTCTCTCGGAGGCTTTGGCAGTCTTTCCTTGATCCCAATAACACATTAGGGAACTTCATGGAAAGAGATGACATATTCAAAACCCAGGGCTAGGCAGAAGCAACTGCTTCTCCCTCCTCCATACCCGTTTGCTAGAAGCCAATTTCTATTTGCTGATTTTGAAAATCTGAAATTATTTGTGATATACACTTATAAGATACAACTTTTTTCTTCATTACTCGTACTTACGGTATCTACTGTTAGTTGGGAGGGAAGTTTGACATCCAAATTAAGTGCTTTCAATCCTCATCTTTGCTGCCACCTGTAGGTAACGAGAGTGGTACAAAGGAGGCAAGAAGCAAGTTTGAATCTGGTCAGATATTAGTCCTGTCATCAGGACCTGATGTTCTCCCGTTTTCAATGTTAAAATTAGTCAGAAAAAGACAAAACATAAACCAGATTGACTCTGTCTCTCCTTGTACCCCAAAATAATCTTGTAACTGAAGAAATAAAACCATGGAAAATGAAGTTGAGGATCGATCCATGCTATTTCACAGCATTGTTACACCACAGTACGCACTGGAACGCTCGTAATTTTGACTGTCTACGTGGAATGTATTTCTGGGTGCATAGCTGAAACTCAGTTTCTTTTTCCATGAGCCATGCAGTGTTTTAGCAGAACTATTACTGCAAAGAAAATTCAAAATAAAATAAGACAAAAGCAGATAAGTTGATCGTATTTTTAAATCCATTATGATAAATTTTTGAAATCATAAATTAAGCAAATGAGGCACAAAACTGAAATATTTCATTTAATGACTGCACAATTTTAATACATAAAAATAGATACTTAGTAATGAACAAGTTTATACAAACCAGATTGTATTGTACCATACAAAAGAAATGATGGAGATTAAAAAAAAGGTTTGCTGGATTACAGGGCAAGACAAAGAACAACCAAACAACACTGAGTAAAAGTTTTAAAATGATCAGAGGCTTATTTCATAAATACAGTGCAATGTTTTCATTTAACAAATACAAAATTTACTATTTATCAACATCAGGAAATATATAAAATGTCATTGAATGACAATCATTTAAAAACGGATGCAAATACAATAGCCTTTTTAGAATTCTGAGGTAATATTACACAGTAAATCAAAAAAGCTTCAATAAATAACTAAACCCAAGGCAAAGTGCAATTCAGTGAAAATAATAAGATAAAGCCTTTATTCTAACTTTAATAGATAAACAGTTATTAAAATTGGGCTTAAGCCATAAAAAAATATTTTGGCTATTTTGCCTTGTTTTCAGATATACTGTATAGTTATTCATTCATTAGCCAGCCTTCTAAGAATTCAGTTCTACAGAGAGAGGAAAGGGGGAAAGTGTTTGTTTTCATATTTCTTACCTACATCCACATTCAGCTGTTAGAAATTTAACATTGCTTGGAGCTAATTAGTTCGTATTCAGTGCAATGGTAAAAGTTTAATTTATTTCTTAACTTCTGAAATCCTTTAAATTAAAATTGATTTTAAAATCTCAGTTTGGGAGAAACAATGTAAAATACACAAGTTTGAGGTACTGCTTTTAACACTCTCCATGTTAACCTAATTTTGTTCCAGGCTGAAGTCCACAGAAATGTTATTAATTGTTTCAAGGAGAGCACAATGAATACAGAGCCTAATATTTTAGCATGTCCTACTACTTATTTCTGCTTTAGTAAAAGAGTAAAATCAGTAGAACTCTAGGTACCTTCTCTAGGAAATAGAATAAAATAAAATTTACACTTGGCTATTGAAGAAAATCCACAACAGCTTTGAAACTACAGATTAGGCAGATTAATTTGTTCATCATGTGTAAATTTGTTGGTTGTATGTAAATAATACAGGGAGGGAAAATGAGAACTATCTAACATTTTACTCTTATTGCAAATCAATAATTGAGTACAGACACTACAAGATATTTAAGCATCCATGCCCCAGAAGTCAATGGGGAAAAAATAACAAATTAGATGCTAAAGTGTCTTGAATGATCTGGGCCTCATTCAGCTGAAAGAAAAACCTGTAGAACACACAGTAGCTATTCATATTTAAAAAATACTATACTGCATGCTGATAAATTCTTTCCATTTAATGAATAAACCCCAGACTTATAATTACATCTGCATTTTAGAACCGGTTTCTTTCCCATCTCCTAATTTAATAACTCTGAGCAGACATACCAGTAATTCTTTTCATGTAGTTTGTGCAGTGAAAACCACAAAACATTGTCTTTAAATGCTGGCCTTCAAGATAATGAAAGCTTCAACATTCTCCTAAACTGTTCTTGTATTCACTTTTGTCACAGCTTAATTAAGACTTTCAACAAAGTTGCTGAAAAAAAAATGATAGCCTGCTACTACATCAGTTTTCTATGTGCTGGGGATTTCATTCTTTTCCTGAAATATTTCACCATACGTGGAATTTGTTTTAAATATCTAGTTTTGTTTACTATAATGCTACAGTAGATCTGGTTAGTTTGCTATCAAAGCATGAACATACAAGTTGCTTAATACCTGTAGTTTGAACGTGAATCCTCTCAAACTGAAAAAAGTGCCTTTTAACACTTTTGTACAGTCAAGCCTGTTGATCTGTAAAAGCTGAATATACAACATCTAAAACCTCTTATTCATAAAAAATAAATTTTTTAGCAGTAAATGGCACTATCAAAACCCTATTTGTTCACAGGCAGTTATTTACATGCTTCTTAGACAGCCTGTTTCATTGAGAAGGAAAACCAGAATATGAAAACTGCATACATTTTATAAAGACTAAAATTCCTATTTGCCTTTGTGAAAATATGGCTACATGCTGTATGTTTTTTTCTTTTTTTCTATTATTCATGTTAATTGAAGACATTCTACCACTGGGATTAGCTAATATCGAAATATTCTGTATATTATCTCCCAGTGGGATATCTGCGATGTAAAGGAATTATGATTAATGATAAAGTGCTATCAATAAAAACAGAAACAAACTGTAACTTAGAAATTGCCTTAGTCAGGTTTCGTTTATCAAATAGACTAGCTTTTTGTACGAAGAAAGCTACTTTCTGTGACAAAGCAAGCGGTAAATGTATTGCCATTCAGGAAAAAACATACACTTCATATTTAATTAAAAAAAATACCTAAGTTGAGTAAGACTCACACAGTATCAAGAGACATAAGAACAAAAAGCTTAAAGGCACAATTAGAAGAGAGTGAATGCTACATAAATATGCTGTTCTTGAAGTTTGTGATTTTATTCTAAACCAAAACCTTCTGCATTTGAAATTCCAATGATCAACTTTTGCTTCAGTTCCTTCTTGTTCTTATAAGGAGGGAGACAAAGCTGGTTGAAGCAGGTATGGGCCACAGGTAACCTAAAATAATTAAAAACAAAAACAAAAACACATTTAATAATAATGCAATGGAAAAAACAAAAACAAAAACCAAAACACATTTAATAATAACGCAATGGCAGCAGAACACTGCCAACACAGTTTTTCAGTTAAGCATGAATTAAGAAAACCCTGTAAAAGGAACATTTATCCAGATATTGTTGGTTCAAGTTCTGTTAAACACAAATAACACCACTTTTGGTCATATGCACCTCAGGTGAATTTGCTTGCCTGCAACTTCCCCCCTACCCCCGTTTCTTTTTTTTTGTTGTTAGAAACACTTCCAAGTTTTGCAAACTCCAGCAACTGCATGACTTCAAGATCATTTTTTCTCTAAATACAAAATCTGGATAGAATCCAAATCCACAACATGAAGAAGGAAGGTGGGTCCTGGAGTAGGTACGGAGACACCTAGATGAACCACAGTTCCTGTGAGGATACAGAACTCAAAGTTCAGCCTTGTAAAGTACGTCCTTACAGACAGCACTGAGAGGCTGATTGTAGCCCTGGAAAAACAGTAACTCACAAATTTGGTCTTAGCCATACCAACACTTTCAATTGTGAGTTTCTTCTAAGAGCTGAGTTTGAAGAGACGTTGCAGATATCTCTTAGAATTGCCTGACTGAAACACTGGAAACTCTGCTTTTCACTAGAATGGAGTAGTTTGCTAACTGTTCTTCCGTAGCACTTTTTTTGCCATCAGTATGAGATGCCACTAACCACCTACTCATAGCTGCAGGCAGTAAGAAGCTACAGGATCTTCTTATAACCTCAAGTGACACGCAGGAAAGCACTGACTAGTTGAGGGGGAGAGAGGAGAAAGAAAATTTGCTGAAGGGTCAACCTGCCATTTGGAATTAACCCAACACACTGAAAAATCTTTAAAACTTGGACATTTAAAAGTTAAATTTTAGTATGCGACTCAAACGCCCTCTGGTTCTGTTTCACTGAAGCCCTTAGTCTTTTGAACAGCAGCAGCTTGGCCTTTGGTCATCAGCTAATCTTCTTGAAAGGGGCTGGAATCCCCCCAGATCTGGAAACCTAAGCTACTTCCCCGCCCTTTAAATAAGCAAGCAAAGATCTGTTAATCAGACTGGAGTCATGTGCTTCAGAATTTGGAAAGTTGGGAAACTGGACGTTAATTTGGCAATCCTTATAGCTGTTGAATTCTTTGATCATACTGCATGAGCAATGCAATGCCAACGCGTCTACGTTCATCCCTGCGCAGCCAGTCTGACTGCAACAATTATCTTGCACAAACAGACCTACATAATTTTGAAATACATGCTATTTCAAAACACATTTTCCCATGTTTAAGAAAAAGAACAATTAGCAGGAGAATGAACTTAAACAGAGATTCAACATTGACTGATTTTTCTTCATTTTTCATCTGACCCTCTGCTCCTTTAACATGTTACTGAAACCAGTTACTAGCTCATTGAATAAAGCACTAGAAATACCACAGTAATCAGATAAACCAAATTTAAAATAAAAATTAGTGTTTATGCATTTAATTCAGCTCTCCACAGAAAACCCAACAAAATCCTGACTTTCAAATATAGCTTCATTTAAGTATTTTGATTACCTTAAGTGTTTGAGAAATCTAGGTAAAGCCAGTAATTACTGCTTAGCAGCAATTACTGCTTAGCAGTGAGCTTCAGACCAGTAAGCTTTTCTATACAGCTTTCCAAATTACTTAAAGTGACTTTCTCCAATCTTGAGAAGAAAAATACTAGCTGGAAAGTATGTGGAATTCCTCAAGTCAATTCAATACAAAATAAAATACTACCAGAAACATAAGAACTTGGCATGAACAATTTAACCTTACAATGAAATTACAAGGCTGCTTTGTTCCTATTTCTTCTGAGCAACCCCTGTGTCAGCCAGACACTTACTCACCAGAGACCCTAAAGGCATGCTACACCTTCTCCAGCCATACATGTTAAAATTCTTATTTCAACCATCAAGAAAGAACGCAAGCATTTTTTGCAAGTGCAGGGGCTGCTATACATAATGACAAGGAGACTCAATGAATTCAGAAAAATGCATGGTGATTAACAGTTTATTTTCATTAGCTCAGCTGTCATGTTAGGAACAGTTAAACAAATAATTTACTTGAATTGAAAACATGTAAAGAATCTCTATAAATAAAGAATTCCTGGCCTCAAATGTAAACATTGACTGGAGAATCAGTTTTGTATTAGATGGTTATCTGTGAAATTTATGTAATCAATAAATGGGCATAATAACATTTTGAAGACAAAATAAAGGAGTCCATGCAGTTTTTTCCTTACCTGTTAGTTTTCTCTTCTTTAAAAAGACATTTGAGAGCAATAAGGGCACTCAGGAAAGAATCTAACAAAAATTATTAGATATCTAGAAAACTACTTACCAGTTAGTGGATGTTTCACTCTTTGAAATCTTGAAATTCAAATCAGCCATTCCTCCCACAGGAACTCTATCACTTCCTGTAGCAAAATGTAGCAGCTTCTTTTGAAGGTCAAGAGTAAATCCAAGTACTACTTCCCAAAAGTATCTATGTTCAGGGCAGAGGGAGAAGAAGATGTTGCAAGATGCAATACCATGACAAAAAAGTATGAGGGTAATAATACTACCACAAGTACTATGTGATGAATGTCACTGGGAATTTAATTAATGTCACATATAGGACATCAGTAGCATCCTATTATGTAAGGTTAAATAAATTCCTAAGGAGTTGGCAAGTACAATGCTTTATGAAATCTGAAATGTCATGTTGTCAAGTGATGTCCAAATCCCCTTTCCTATAAAAATGTAAATGCCTCTACTTCCTAATATAAATGTCCTTAGTATCGAATAGAATTGGAAGAGCATAAGCATTTTTAGAAGATTGGATAATAAAGACTCAGATTTCACTATGCAGTATTTGAAGATACTCTTTTCAAAATACCTCCATTTAAATCTGATCATAATCTTTTAAAGGTATTCAGCAACAAATTATGCCATTAAGAATCTAACTCTTCCTACTTATATGTAATTTCATAGGGTCTTTATGTTATTTGGAATTAGATTTTTAAAATATCAGTCCTTCTCAGATTGAAGAGATTATTCCCGACAGTCTACCATTCTGTGATGTTTTTAAACTCAGTAATTAGAATAAAAACAATAAGCCTACCGTATAGTAAGATCAGTTTTTTGGTAGCCCTCATATTGGGTACTTCGCTGTAAAGCAGACATATCCAGTTCAGGACTGCCACAGACAAGAATTTCAACCTCTTCTGGACGAAGCAGCTGCCAGAGGTTAAGGAAAAAATATTTAATTTTTTAAAGTAGAGAAATTATGCCAGCAGATTGAATTTTTCATTTGTCATTAGAGAAAAATCAACAGATGATCATTCAATATAAAACTTAGATACATACTATTTTACAGAAAAATGAATTCCTCAGTAGTCTGAAGTATTTCTTACTACTGTATATAGTAAAAAGCAAATTACTGGCTAACATAATAATTTAGCGTGTTTCTTCCTCACTTTTTTCAGTCTTACATTTATTAAACTGATTTGTTTGTCATCTGATTAAATGACAAATGAGTCAGGAAGAAAACTAAGTTTATATGTATGGATTCAGAGGGAGGGTCTTGATCTCAGTTCTGGTTATAAGTTCCATTTGATTTACGTGAAGTCCCAATGTAGGCTGATGAGTAGCGATGTCTGACAGAAGCTGACTTGCAGTTGTACACACTGCTGTGCAAAGCAAATACACGTAACAATAAACCCTGTTTAACAACTGCTAAACTTAACACCTGCAGAACCTACTTAATCATTTACTGCAACATTGATAAATTGTGTGGAAGTATGCCATGGCATTTCAATGGATTTTCCTTCTCCTTACAGACCCTTCCCTGCAGTTAGTCACATCTTACTTTGCTGCAAGTGTCTCATACTTGGCTAATTTCACAGGAATGAAGAAAATCTCATGCAAATTGTAATTGCCTCTTCTTTCTCTTCTTACTGCACAAGGGATGATGTACACTACAAGGGGCATTCCAACAGCCAAACAGGACTGAACACCGAAATAACGTTTAATCTCAACCTCACTGAATGTTCTTCCAACAAAAAGTAATAGATGTTTACAGAGGAGTCACTCGAGCACACAGACATATTTACTCTGCTGTGCATAAACGTAGGGAATACAGAGAATCCCTGTAAACACCCACATGAGAACTTGTGAAGTGCCTGTGAATGCATGCTGATAAGCCTAACTTTTGGAGCTTTATTTATCTATTTTCAATGGAACACTATAGAGAACAGTTGACTGCTTGCTTAATTTCTTCTGCTTCTGTTGGATTAATTAGCTACATTGATTAATCAAGATTCTTCATGAATTCTAAAATCATCCATCATAATTTGTTTAATTTAGGTGAGTCATTGTCAGATATTTGAAACAGAAGCGAAGAGTTGTGTGCCATTTTATTCTTACCAGTAATGCATACGAAGCACAGACACTATGAAATCCATAGTAGAAAGCTGCAAATTGTTTGTAGATTGATTTGTTGAGAAGAAAATCAACATAGAGCTGCACATATTCTAAAAAAGAAAACCATTTTATTTTGTTACATCGTAATAAGTTTAAATAATAATTTCTTGTGCTCTCTCAAATGGTACTGACTTAAAAATTAATGCATTTCATTTTAGATACTATTAAACTGGTAGGCATTCAAGAAAGGACTACAGTAATTTCATTTTCAAACTTAGTTAAAGAAAATTTAGGCTTAAAAGAAGGAAAAAAGGACTAACTTAAATCTGTGTAGTTAATATATATTGAAATACCTTTCCTATTCTGATTTGTGACTGGAATTTTATCTCCATTTGGCTTTAAGTTGTAAGATTTTATAACACCAAATTCTTCCTGAAAAACCTGAAGAAAAAGGGGAGTGAAGGTCAGTACTAGAAAATACATTCATATACTCACAAATTACAAAGCTTGTGTTTATTTTTTAACGTGTTTCCCTTGTCTCTCTCTCTAGCATATGCTGTAATTCTTAGGGTTATGGGGTTTTAAGACAAGTTAAATATTACAATTTTCAACAAATTGCTCAGGAAATCGGTATTCAAAGTAGAAAAAAATGACCCTGTTACACAGTGGCATATCCAACTGACCTGCAGGCTCTGGAGCCACAATGTTTTTCATATAAAAGAAAAAATTTAGGATCATCAAATACAATTAAGAAGGTACTTATTCCACTGTAGCTCACCTAGGATCTCAAAAGTACCCACTGTACAAAAACTGTCATATGGTCTGACAATAATGTAATTCAAAATTGAAGAAAAAAGGTCAATACTAGTCCAATACACATCCATACTGAGTCATGAAATTTTACTAACTAGTTCTAAAACAATGAATAAATGTGAAAGTCTTTCTTGATTGAAGTAGCAGTGAGACATACAGATCAAACAAAACTATCGTAACTTGAACAGGGTATTGGTCACGTCCAAGGACAAAGTATATAATGACCAGAGTAAGCTTTGACTACCATCTGGGTTAGACAGAAAAGGGATTGTTTGGCAGCCAGATGAATTCCACAGACCAGGTCACCGACTGGAAACACACCAGCAGCTGGCCATGCGACACTGGCAGTCAGTACTCAGATCCACCTCCTCTGCCCGGCGACAGCAACCTAAAGCCCTGTAACAAAGGCAGCCTCCGTACGCCCTCAGCACCCAGGACCAGGCTGGTTCTTGAAGCAAGCTGTAAAGCCCGTGCAGTTACATTCCAAACAGTCAGTAATCACACAGTAGTAGGCCACTCCATTGCAGCAACATTGGTAAAAATTACTGAATGAGTTTGAGAATCACTTATAATTGTGTATTTAATGACCTGAAAAGTTGAGTAAAAATCCTCTTCGACATTGCCCTCATAGGATAGAAGTTCACTTAGTCCATGGGCCAGTTCCTACAACATGAGAAAAACTCTTTAGTAAATCTACAAAACTAAGTGATGTGCTTTGCAAGGACGTGCTAGAATCATTTACTTTATACAGAAAGTATCTTGGAAAAGGTTGTATATTCCAAATGTATACACAAAGGAAAACTCACAGCTTAACTAATATTTAATTATTTATTTTTATTTCAGTATAAACTGTTACATTTTCCTTTTTACTACAGAAAACGTATCTAGAAGGTTCATATCAGATTTGGGTATTCTAACTTCAAGTAGATCAACAAAAATTCTGCTATGCTAGAAAACAAGGTGATTTGCTGTTTTCAACAGAAAAATTTAACAGCCTGTGCCAACAAAAAAGGCTGTTTTCAAACAGTTTATAATTCAAGCATTAAATATAAATAAAACAGTTTTTAAAACAGTAGTTTAGACTCTTAAAAAAACCATAATACTCACAGGCATAATCTGAATCAGGTCATCTAATGTGACGTCAGAGATGCCTACAAGTGTGTTATGATCACAGGGAACAATGGGAGGACTCAATAATTTCTTGTAACAGCAAGGTGGGAAACGAATATCCAAGGTGATGCTATTATATACAGCAAGTCCCATAAGCTATACATGTCAAACGTTAAGGGCAAACCCCACACATCCTTATTACAGTAAATATTTTAAGTAAGTAACTTGTAAAAATTTTAAAATTCTACTCAACATACTCTAAGAGGTGCTAAACAGTAGGAATTGAAATGATTTAATTTTTTTAGACTGATAATTTTAATTGCAGTTTTGTGTTACAATTAAGTAGTAGTTAAAATGGTCAAATGATGCACATTGACAGAACACTTGAGAATCTTCATCACAATATTCTATACAATCATTTCTATAATAAATTGTTCCAAAGAACTGTTACGAAAAAAGTTTTTGAAGAGAACTGTAGATATATGTTTTTAATCAAAAAATTCTACAGAACTCTCAATATAGGATTTTTTCTTTCAAATAAATCTAAAAGCATAAAGACAAACCTGCACTGGCACTGCAGCTATCAGCTAGCACATTTAAATGTACCTGGTGAAACAAATTTGCAATTATACAAAAAGTTAGAAGAATCCAGTTCACAATTCAGCTTCTCACTAGAACAGAATAGTTCAGTTGGAAGGGACCTCCAATCATCATCTGGCGCAACTGCAATCAGTAAAATGGGGACATCATCATCCCATCTGACTGGAGTTATAAGCATACATTATCATTCATCATTTGTCTGAGGACTTCATAAGTGAGCACAACAGAAACTAGGAATTAAACCTATGCTCAAATTAGGATGTGTCTTCCATTCAGTTAAAAAAAAAGGCCACATACTGATCAACAGGCAATTAAATGAAATATTAATGCATACAGGGTCATTTATGTTTACTGAATGAAAGGCAGAGGTGTAAGTACATGAAAAGATGACAATTTACACACAAAATAGTTGCATGTGTAAACTTAATCCTAGTATTTTTGACTGTAAATGTACCACGTACCCACACACCACCATTTTCTTCCTATTTTTAGTTCACTGGCTTGAATTAGATTCTTTTTATACATTTAAAATGGAACACACGTGTATATGCAACACCTGAATAAGCTTTAATCAATGCCTTATTTCATCCCCATACCAGCTCATGAAGTGGCTGCTCTTTCAGCACCGTCTAGCAGACATAAAAGGATACAGCTCCAACCAA